GCAGATGCCAGGGCCTATCCAGAAGTGGGTGGGACGGCGTGTACAACCTGTATCTACTATTAGGTAATGAGATGTGCTATGGGTCCTCGACCTACATACCTCTGGAACGGCAGGAGTCCCTGCGCTACACGATTTTTGTGGTCAATCATCTCCTCATTGATGATCTCTACCCTCATCATCTCCACCAATTCATTATACGTGGTCGGGTTTTTGCTTCGGATATCATGTTAAAATAAGGTATTTATATTCAGGCCTCTCTTTCAAGGCTAAAAAGGCCTCTCTATCAGTGACTTGTTCACAATAGGTTATCTCATCGGTAAACCTAGCGAGGTAGTTTTTTAGCATTTCTCCTGGGGCTTGCCTCATGTCTTGCAAGCGTTGTACTGGGACCTTCCTCTTCCCCCCTCAACAAATATTGATTTAAGAAAGCTTTTTTCAGGTCGGGCCAGCTTTTGATACTTAGAGGTGGTAGCCGAGTATACCAGACTTCTACACCTTGGTTAAGGTCAGATGAAAGCCATGCACTTCAATGGTGGAGAGGCTCCTCTCAAGATCATTTAGGTCATGTATTTGTTAAGGTGCTTCTCAGAATCACATTTTTCCTCATATCCAGGAATTTGGGGGGGGGGTACAAAATTCATGGGTATTAGGAAAGGTCAGATCTCTCTGGAGAAAGAAGGTTGTCATCGTCATCATCTATCTCATATAATCTACATGACCCTTCAGAGTTTCCATCCGGATCAGTTTGGGAAGGAGGCTCCCCAATCCACTAAGTTCCTCATCTCATGCCTGTTTCTAGGCGGAGGAGGTTATATCCCCTGCTTTGGTTCTTGCTCCTATTGGTCTGACCTTTGGATGGGTGAACTCTATTGTTTGGATTTCGCCCTGTTCGATTGAAGACACTAACCGACCTTTGGGGTTTGTATTCAGGTAGGAAGTTATCTCCCAACTGAGGATCTGCTGCTTGTGTATATGCCGCATATGAGAAGATATCCATTCCTACCTCCCTTTCAATGGGAGGCTCCCCTCGATGTCCTGAGTGACGTTGACTGTGTGAAGTAGGTAGCTGTTCCTAGGCCGTGTGGGACCTTTTTGGCATCTGGAGGCCCTGGTGGCCTTGGGCCTGCATGAGGAGCTTACGCATAGCCATATTTTTTGTTGCAATGTCCCTCATACTTGCAGCCATTTGGGTAACTTCTGCAATTAGTCTTGGGGTCGCTCCACCTCCTTGGCGATGGAGGTGATGAGGTCTTTGGTGTGTAACATTTGCTTGAAGCATCTCTTCTTCAGAGTTGTCCCTCATACTTCTCGGATTAATGTCATCATTACTTGAACTCATTCTACTTCCACTAGATTGCTAAATTTCACTGTTCTTTTTCAAGAGTGCCTTTTTTCAAGGAGAATGCTTTTCTCTAAATTTTCGGGTGGCTTTTTCCGATGATGATTAGGAATCACTAAAATGGCCGTTTCCCACAGACGACGTCAATCTGTTGATCCACGAATTGGGCCCTCCATGTGGCCAACGGTGAGCTATTCCAAGTGATCCTTCCTGCGCGCAATAACAAACGATCAAGCATATATGGTCGATACCAACAGTGGCGGCGGCGGCTATATACACTCCGACGATCAAATTAGGTAGTGACGGTGGCAGTGCCAGAATGTGCGATACTCGAAGGGGGGAAGAGAAAATATATTTGCTTGGCTATGGAATGCTTACCTTATTCTTGGCCAAACCCTTGGTGTTTATAAGTAAAGGGCACCGCTAGATACATGACACATGTGATCATTGGATGGTGCGAGGCGTCTATGCGTAGGCGTTCATCAATCGCTTCCTAAGTGGGTGGGCAATTAATTACATTGATTTTGAGTTGAATATGGTAGAAATGTCACATCAGTCATTCCTCAAAATATAAAGAAGATCTTGGTCAGAAGATCTCTGAAATTTGCGATAGAGTGGTGCTTCTATTTTTCTCCGCGACGCCACATCTCGGTCGACTTAGCTTGGCACATGCACTTTGGAAGCAATGTCTCGAACTATCATCACTTTTTGTTATGTTCTGCCTCGAACATTCGGTTTCAATCGCTCAGCTCAGCACATGCACTTCGAAAGCGACGCCTCACACATACGATTTCACTCGTGTCGAAGCGGTATGCGAAGGACGTAACAATTATCAAGAATTACCTTTCTATATTAGTTTGATCTTACGAGTTTGCATAACATCATGAAATAAATTCTTGAAGATCGTTTGTAATTTTGCACTATCTTTAGTTTTCCTTAATGATGAACCTATTGTACATCATAGTCAAGATCCAATATTTCTAGGGTTCGCGCCAACCTTCGTATGTTCACTATAATACCTACAATACAAAATTATGCCTCTGTTTTTGGATTTTATTTTCTTTTATAATTTCAGTTTTCAAAATCAAATATTAATTTTAACTACATATTTTGTAAATTTCACGAGTACTATTATAGTAAGGTATGACGCATGTGACTTGTACAATTGGAAAAAACTTTCTACTTTCAAATAATATGCCGAAAGTTATAATGGATCGAGTGTATTGCCTTTTCTCTTGAACTCTTGTTTAAACAAACTTGATATTAGTGTGGGGGTGTCACACGCTCACATCAAATTAGCATTACACTCATAGATATATTCAACGGGCCCTATTATTGGTCAAGGTGCCCAATAGTGACACTCGATTATGATTCACTACTACGTACAAATGGGAGTTGACACTTCTAGATATATTCAACGAGCCCTATTTTTCTTGCATATGTAAACGTTTAGTTTGACACTTCATCAATTTTTTTGTTATATTATGGAAACTACATTAAAGAAATCCAAATATATTATCATACATACCCATTTAATTAATATTTAGTCGTATTAAAAAGACAAAATCAAATTGATATCAGATTCCCATATCCATTTTGGGTTAGCTAGCTTTTCCAACAAATTATCAATGATTAATATTTCAATCAACATGGATTACAGGGTTTGATGAACAACTCATAACTCATAACAAATCATATTTTTTTAGTACAAAAGATCGGAAGTACAAACTACATGTGTCGTACATTCTAAAACTAAATTAGAAAAAGAAATATGTTGTTTCTTATGAAATGACTAATCATATAATTAAGCCTCTACTGAGGAAGAATTCGTAAACGGTTTAATTTATAGATACATAAAAAATGAGTTGTAGATAAATTGATAGTACTTGTGAAGTTATTAAAATTTATAATTAAAAATGAAATTTGATCATTTATAAATTTATACAAATAGATGATAAATTATTATAAAACTGATCAACATTTATTTGGGTTTCATCATATTAAAATTTTAATGAAGAGGAATAATGGGATCCACAAAACGTGTTGATAATAAGTATGTAGATGTGAATAAGTGATTCAATTAATTTTGACTTCAAATTATAAGTGAATTATAATGAAACTTAACAAGCTATTTTAATATACTTTTTGTCTAATCTATTCAATCCCCTTACCTAACATGTACTATCATAATATATTTGACATGTTAAAATGAGTCTAAAAAAGTTAATAAATTTTAGGGAAAACTGCAATAGCGGTCCCTGGCCTTTTCATTTTTTGCAAACTTTACTCTAACCTTTATTTTGTTCTAGCGGAGGTCCTTAACCTTTCATAAATATGTACTTCATGTCTGTCTAGACGGAAACCGTCTAAAACATAGTCAGTTGACCGAAAAAATTTCCTTGAACTATCTGCTACACGACGATTTTATTGGATATTGATACCTTTTTGGATGATTTTTTGGACGGTTTTATTGGATGTTGATTTCTTAATATCTTTCGGTAAGCTAACAGTGTTTTGGATTATTTTTGTTCAAATGGACTTTAGATGCATATTTATGAAAGATTAGGAACATCCGCTTGTATAACATAAAGGTTAGGGTAAAGTCTGCAAAAAAAATAAAAATAAAAATAAAAAATGTTATGACGGCTGCTGCAATTTTCCCTAAATTTTATTATATGTATATCATTGTTAATCTTGTCGTAGACCTAAAATTGTTAGTTAAGTAAATCAAATACACCGAGTCGGCCATTATTGACACAAAAAGTTGGTGATCTACTCCTCCATGAGTCGGTTAGGAATTTCACAATAGTATTTGTTTAGTTCATTGTCTTTTATATATTTTCATACAATAGAGGTAACGCTTTACGTTGTACTCCACAAAATATTGTACCGTCTTATAAACTTATTGCCGGGTCGGTTCGAAATCCTGTACAAATTTGATGGACCACTGACAAAGAAAAGAAAAGTAAACCATCCCCTAAATTCTTATTCTTATCAAGAATTCGGTATGTAAAGTGGCCAAGGCTATTATACCTATTTGGTGTAGATTAAAATTAGAATTTTAGTAAATTTTAATAAAAGTCAATGAAATATATAATTGATAAAATTTTGATTTATTAAAATGTGTTTAAAAAATTAATTGTTGATGTTGATATGAGATTAAATCAGATTTTAATTATATAAGATAACATAATATAACGCAAAAATCCAAACATGAAAAAATTGCATCTTTCAAAAATTCATCTTTTGTTACAATAGAAGCAGAAGTGATGTGGATTACACATCGAAAGATGCGGTCAATACCCAAAAACTACTATTCCATTTTATGAGTGAACAAATCTAGTTCAATTTTGACATTGTTGATTAAGACAAGCAAATATATCATATATGTGATAATTTAAGCTCTTAAACTTGATATTCAACGTTTCATCTCTAATAACTTGAACTTTTAAATAAGATGATTGAACGATCACATATAGTAACTTTTGCTTGATTAATTAATTAGTAAGATAAAACTCGGAAGTACGCTATCTTTGCTGTAATACTTGTAAGCTACAGAAATTTCACCAACTGCACCTGTATTGTCTCCCTCCCATACTTCCTCCCTCTCTACTCTATAAATATCCAGACTTTATATTCAATTTTCATCTCAATTCTTTCTTCCTTTTAACACATTTAATTTTTCATAGAGAGTGATTATTAAGGTTAAGAAAAATGTCTCAGTTCAAGAACTTGTTCATGGTGTTCACTATATTTGCATTTGCACCTTTTTGTAGCTTCTGTTACAGCACCAATGCTGGTTATCTTTACCCGCAGTACTACGATAGGTCATGTCCACAAGCACAAGAAATTGTCAAGTCCATTGTTGCCAAGGCAGTAGCAAAAGAGGCTCGTATGGCTGCTTCATTGCTGAGACTCCATTTTCATGACTGCTTTGTCAAGGTTTCCATTGATAATTGCTTAAATGCTCCATTTTTAGAAATGCTTACTAGGGTTGAGCAAAACTCTCGAATCGAACCGATCGAACTGAACCGAACCGAACCGAACCGAATCGAACCCAAACGTTCTTCTCAAGTTAAATATCCAAACGGGTATCTGAATTGAGAACTGGCGGGTACGGTTCGGTTATCAGTTCTAGGCCACGAACCGAATCTTCCTAATTTTTTTATATCGAATAAATCAAATTATTTTAATTTTTTCTAAATAAATTAACTAATTAGATGATTGATTGATACTCTATCTCTCAAGCTATTGCTAGCTTGACCCAACCCAACCAATTTCTAATCAAATTATTTGTTTCATTTCTAATTTTTTAGCCCAAGTGCAATTTTTTCTAAAAGCTAATATGTTATTAGTTATATTTATGTAGTGTTGTAAATGTTAATTATGGTACGGAACCGAACAAAATCGAATTGAACCGAACCGATCCAATGGAATCGAACTTGAATGATTCCATAATTATATTTGGATCCAACGGTTTCACTTACTCAATACCTAAAATTTTCGAGAAACTAACTGGACCATGCGTAGCTCTATTGTTTATTATAATATTTATTTTTCTCACCTTTTGCATCAAAACTAAACAATAGTAACATAAGAAGTAAGTGTACTAATTTTAACAGCCACTACTAATTTTATCTTTATATGATCGTGCAGGGGTGTGATGCATCTGTACTTCTGGACAGCTCTGGAACCATAATCAGTGAGAAGAGATCAAATCCCAACAGGAACTCAGCCCGGGGATTTGAAGTCCTTGATGAGATAAAATCCGCGCTCGAGAGAGAATGCCCTCACACTGTTTCTTGTGCCGATATTATGGCTCTTGCTGCAAGGGATTCCACAGTTCTTGTAAGTAACACATTCTGACTTACCCATTTGATTAATTGACTGAAATTTCACGTGAAAGATGATGGCATTTGTTCGTAATGCAGACTGGTGGACCTAGCTGGGAAGTTCCGTTAGGAAGAAGAGATTCAAGAGATGCAAGTTTGAGTGGTTCAAACCAGAACATTCCTGCTCCAAATAACACATTCCAGACTATCCTCACTAAGTTTATGCTAAAAGGACTTGACATTGTTGATCTAGTGGCATTATCTGGTAAAATTAACTTGACTGTCTCTTCTTTGTCTCCCTTTAAAACAAAATACTCATTTTAAACCACACGTTCACATAATAAAATATTTTTCGTACATTCACAAAACTTTTTAATCACATTCTCCAAAAAGTTAATATTTAAAATATCAAAAATGGCCATCAAATACGGGATTAATGTGATTAGCCTTATTCCGATGAGTTGATTATAATTGACATAAAGAATTTATGCAGTCGACTCAAATAATAGGGAATATGCTTAGTTTGTTTATCACTGCATGCTGGGATTAACACAATAGAGCATGCATGTTTTAACATCTGGTAAATCCTCCTTCAGGAAGTCACACCATTGGAAATGCAAGATGTGTCAGCTTCAGGCAAAGGATATATAACCAAACAGGAAATGGGCAACCGGACTACACCCTGGACCAATCCTACGCAGCCCAATTGCGTACTAGGTGCCCACAATCCGGTGGTGACCAAAACCTCTTTTTCTTGGATTTTGTCTCCCCAACAAAGTTCGACAACAGCTACTTCAAGAATCTGTTGAGTTTCAAGGGCCTACTGAATTCTGATGAAGTTCTGGTAACTAAGAATCTGGCATCATTCGAGTTGGTCAAGATATATGCTGAGAACAATGACCTTTTCTTTGAGCAATTTGCAAAGTCCATGATTAAGATGGGAAATATATCTCCATTGACAGGATCAAGAGGAGAAATTCGTAAGAACTGCAGAAAGATCAACAATTGAATGTTCTCATGAATGTGGTAGCTTGTCCGTACGTCTGTGTTTTATTCAATTTCTCAATTTATTGCTTTGATTCAGATTAAGTTTTCTAAATGTTGCGTCAATTTCTGTGGAAATGTGGAGTGATGTAAAAAGCTGTTTGTATATCCTAATGAGAGTCCATTGTCTGCTTCCACAATTATTTCACTATGGTTCTCTTTATTTAGCCTCCGTATAGTAAAATTTATAAATTATTTATAAATAGTCAAACTTCATTTTCTGTTTACTATTATAAATTAATTTTTTTTATAGATTATCCCCAAAGGGAGGCTTGAACTTAGAAAGAGGTGACAAGAAGACTTGTAATGTTATATTGGTATCATACATGACAAACACGAACAAAAGGGCGATCTATTTAAGACGATTAAGCACAAAGTATATGTTACGATACTGAGACGAACTACTCCACCGCCAAGCATGATCAACGAGCTGATGACCAAGCCTAGCCGTAAATCCACTTATTCTTCATTCATCATACCTCAACCTTGACTTGGCTTCTCAACAAACCAGGATGGATGAGTACTTCTCTAACCATAACTGCTCCAATATAGCAACCCCGTGTTTCTAGGATGTGATGCGCTAGAGTAATTAGGCCCCCGTTTGATGGAAATTAAAATCATTTTCTTTTTCTTTTTTTTTGGGGGGGGGGGGGGAGGTT